GCGGTTGTGGTCCAGACAGTCTTCCCCCACGGAAGTCCTGCATTTCATCAGCTGCCTTTGGAGAGGTGCAAGCAACCTTGTCGCCTGGTTTTCCTGGTCTCAGTCATACACAGCACTAGGGGGCTATCTATGCATCTTTCAGAACCCCACTGTTGAGGAAAATATGTTTATATCAGTAAAGGGGGAAAAGAGACTTTAAAGTTGAATTAAGTTAGGAAAGAAGAAAATGTGTTTCAATATATGAGAGGGAAATGTTCTTGGCACATCAAGCTTTCCTGCATAGCAGGGCCTCCTTCAGGGGCCCCGTGCAGCATATGGGATGCTTTCATCTGAGGATGCAGCCCAATCTGCCAGAGCCAGGATGCGTTAAAGCAGTTTGCAGACTGATCCAGGGGACATTCCTGCCACCTCTCCCTTCTCACTCTGCAACTGTACTTTCCTGATTAGTAGGTCCAAAGGCCAAGGGGAACACAGCCCAGGCAGGCTCCCTGATGATCGGGCCTTGGAAAGGCCAAAAGACGACTGCCATTGAAAAGACACTTTGCTATACTCAGAATTTCCAAGAGAAGGGGCTGCCCCATGCCACGGGAAGGGGGATGGCATGCGGGGAAGCACGAGGGTGGGTCAGGAGGCAGAGGGAGAAAGGGAAACTGTAGCAAGAGACTTTACTATGGTTTCTGTGGAAAGGAACAGGTGAGACGGGGTTAGTGGTTTAGGATTGGCTAGTTAGAATAATTTCGGTGGGCTCTAGGATGTAGGGACTATCTCTAGTTGTCTAGTACCTGATCCTAAGGTGATTAGGGCAATAGTGGCCTGGAGTGTAATAGCTCCAAAAAGGAGGTGGCTGGGGGAATGGGCTCTGGGTTGATCGGTTTGCATATGAAAGACATGTTTATAAGCCAGTTATTTGCTTTCTCTAGGAATGATGTAGCCCTGGGATGGGCAGTCGCTCTAGAGTCAGCAAGGCCCTAAGATGTCAAAACATCAGAGTATAGTAAATAAAAGGCATGGCTAATACAACCATTTGTAGGTTTTGCAGCCAAGAGCCCAAAGGGCTCAGCCTTACAGCTGACATCAATTGCAATGTGAGAAAGTGAGCCTTCAGATGATTCTGGCCCCCAGCCTTCAAGCAGCCCAGGTGACACCATGTAAAGCAGAGATGAGCTACACGTGTCAAGTCCTGCCCAAATTGTAAGTCGTATGCATAGAAATATTTTTTTAAGTCACTAAGTTTTAGAGTAATGTTTATACAACTATAGTAACTTGAACAATGGTAATGAACTAAGCTGAACAAATTCTCTCTCCAGAATTTAAACTGGGACTTATGAAAATGAATCAGGAGTTCCCTAGTGGTCTAGTGGTTAGGATTTGGTGCTTTCACTGCCGTGGCCCTGGTTCAATCCCTGGTAGGGGAACTGAGATTCAGCAAGCCATGCAGCATGGCCACAAAAAATAAAGAAAGAAAGAAAAAGAAAACGAAAAGGGGAAATGAGTGAGTTGCTAGCAGGAGACAAGTGGTTAGACACTAAGAGAGTCTCATTCATGACACATGACTTATTCTGGAATAACAGGAGTGCTGGGCTAGAGTGGCCCTGGTCCTGAATGATCCAGTTTCCTGAGGTCAGTAGTAGGACCTCATCATTCCTGAAGCCTTCAGGTGGTGGGTTTCTCCAGGGTCTGAGCTGGGCTCCTATGCGGTCTTGGATGGGGCAGAGAGCCCTGCTCTGAGACCCCCATGCTAATCCTTCCCTAAGAGAGTCTCCATTCCTTGCAGCCAAGGGAGCCTCTCACCCTTAGAGGCACATGGTACCCAGCCAGAGCTTGGCATACAGTAAGCAAGCAGGATGGGGGACACCCACCTGCCTTCATCGTGGGACTCACAGAGACAGAAAATGTTAAAGAGCTTTGTGAACACTCAAGGTCTGGACAAATCCATGTGGGTGGCTAGTATCACCTTCATTTCTCCACAATATTTTACTTATACTATTTTAAAAATAATTTTAATCATCCAAAAATGTCCAGAAATTTCACTTCCTCGGTCCCAGCTCCAAGCTCAGACCGGGACAGGTGCCCCCTTCTGTACTCATTCCAGAGCCTTCTGGCAACAGACCGTCATCTGCGTGTTCCTGCCTGCAAAGGGGAGGCCCAGAGAGAGGGAGCACTTGCCCATGGCCTCTTTCAGCAGAGGCAGGGCCTCCTCACCCGGTCCCCACACGCAGCCCCCTTTCTCCACCTACCCCAGCCCAGCACTCAGGTGTGGAGCACAAGACTGGGTAGTCGGTGGTGGTGGTTCCCTGGGGTGAAGCTTCAGCGGTGCTTCGGGGGCAGCGGTGCAGGAGGACTAGGTGAGGCAGATGCGCCAGAGCGTGCTGGGGTAGGGAACTAAGTGGGGGAGGCTTGGGGGAGGGAAGAAAGGGGAGAGAGGGAGAGTGGAGTCAGGAGACAGGCTGATTTATTGAGATCTTATTTTTTCCTCCCTGTATTCTCCACTCCTCCAGTTCCAAAGGAGACAGCCCAGCCCTCTCTCCCCCCAGGTCTCTGGGGAAGTCTGTGCAAAAAATAGAAATTGCCTGCAGACGCTCCCTTGCTCTCACCTGTGTTCATGTGCATGAGGGATGATCCCTTCTGGGTCAGGGAAAGCCAGAGGGCAAGGGAGGGCAGTGCCAAGGTGGGACAAACCAGCCTGGGCAGAGACAACCTTATCACGGGTGCACCCTGTGTCCTGGCATGAATTTGAGCCTGTGTACGAATGAGCTTGTTCCTGTGTGTGCCAAGATGTCACCAGACCTGCCTGTGAAACATGTCATGCCACAGACTGCGGGCATGTATCTTTTCAAATTATAGTTTTGTCCGGATATATGCCCAGGGGTGGGCTTGCCGGATCATATGGCAACTCTAGTTTTTTTGAGGAACCCCCATACTCTTCTCCATAGTGGCCACACCATTTTACATTCCCGCCAACAGTGTAGGAGGGTTCCCTTTTCTGAATTCAGAGAGCATTTTAATTTGCCAGCCCCTGGACCAGCCATAGCCTCTGAACAAATGCAAAGAGCATTAGAAGTGGGGACAAGGGAAGTCCTGGGCGCCATGGGGCCCTAATCTGCTCTGCACTTGGGAGGGTTAGGCTGGGCAAACGCTGGAGCGTGGGCTACTTACACCTTCCTAACCAAAAGGGCACTTCGCTTCAACCTTCTTGGCTCAGCTGCCCCAGGAAATCACTATGGTCCCAAAGGAGCCAACAGAAGAGCAGCTACTCACACATGAGCGCACGCCAAGGCAGCGGGCACCAGGACTCACGCACAAGCTCAAAGCCAGGATGTCACCTGAGGTCCTGGATTTGGGGGCAAAACCCCTACAGCTTGCCTAACTACCTTTTAGAGCAGCTCCCCTGAAATGTTTTCCCACCTGCCACAGGAGCCCTGTCCCAGGACTGTCTCCCAGACCAGAACCCTCACTGGGCTCCACCCCGTGCAGACGCCGTTAGGTCTGCTGGCTGCCTCTCGCCAGAGGCGCTTCCGGAAGTGTACTTGAAAACTTTGGAGAGTCTCCTTGCTTCTCCCGGTGAGCACGTGACCTCGCGGCAACCAGCTCCGGGTTCCAGGGGTTAGGGAGCGAGAAAAGTCCTAAAGGGCTGGCTTCCTTTCAGCCACGACAGGGATGGACGTGCCTATAACGCCTGAAGTGCGCGCGCAACTGGGCGCAGGGAGGCAGGGCGCTCCAAGCAGCAGTCCGCCCACTCAGCCTTGCCCACCTACGTCACGCTCCGCAGGCCCGCCCAGATCCTCCTGATTGGTGGAGAGCGCGCGCGAGTGCTCCCCTTCCGCCCCCAGATCCGCCCCCCTGCGGCACTGCCCGGCCCCCTGGTTTACCAGGCTGCCAGTGCGGCTTCCAAGTTGGAAAACGAAGGCGCGGGCGCGAAAGGGCCCAGACCCACCAAGGGTGAGGGGGCACTTTCCCGTCTTGCTCGCGCTCTCGCCCTCGCCCTCGCTCCAGACCTGACAGTGGCTGGCTGCTCTTCAGAAGCAGAGTCATTGCTCAGCTCGGGCCGCCCCAGGCCCCTTCCTCTCCTCAGCCTTCGACCCGTTACCCGGGCCGGGACCCTTACTGCAACAGCACCCGTAGATGCCCACTGCCCAGGCCCCGCTCATCGCCTACACCCCCACGTGCCATGAGGTTCGTCCTCTAGGACCCACCGTCCAGCACGCGGGCTCTAGGGTCCAATGCTGAAACCAGTTCTGCAAGCATCCCCCTCCTGGAGCCTCCAGCTCGGTCCGCAGACGACTCCTCCCCCCACCCAACCCCTGGTCACTCTTGGGTCCCGCATGTCCGGACCCTTCAGGATTCCCCACACTCTGGGACCCCTCCATTGACCGGTGCACCCTCGGGTCCCTCCGAACCTTCCTCTCACTCAGGGGTTCTTCCTCGCACCAGCGCCCCGGACCCCTCCGCGGGCCGCCTCGGTGTAAGGGACCACTCTTAGCAGCCTGTACCTCCGCAAACCGCTGCCCTCTACCCAGCACCTCCCCCAAGACACCCTCTCGGGACCCTCCTCCCCTTCCCTCACATCTGCCTCCTACTCTTCCTGCCTCCTCCCGGTAAACATCCCTCCCAGGGTCCTCCTCACTCTCGCATCCATGCGATCCCTCCTCGGGCCCCCGGGGTCCCACTCCGAACACCCCTCCGAGCCCTACCCGCACCCCCTCGGGCCCCTGCCTAGCCCCCCACGCCCCTTAGCCCACTCATCTGCCGGACTCCTCCTCACGGCCCTCGCACCCCAGGCCGCTCACCCCACTCATCTTCCCAGAACCCCTGACACACCCACACACCCCGGCCCTCTTATCTACCGCCAGGATCCCTCTGGAATCCCCTCCACCCCAAGCCCCTCACCCAACTCGTCTGCCCAAGACCCCCGCCCGCCCTCCACTCACCGCCTCGGCCTCACCCCGAAACCCTCTCCCCCCGGGGCCGGCGGGCAGCGCCGGCGGCGGCGGCGGCTGCGGAGGCCGGTCCTCGGGCCGGGACAC